AACCCCTAGACTCAGCGGAGCTGAAATACTTGTCACTCGAAACCGTTTTTCTGATTGCACTGTCAGTAAAATGTGTGGGGGATTTACACACGCTTTCTGTTAACGCTACGTGTCTCGAGTTTGGCCCGAATGACTCAAAAGTAGGGTTGGGTATCGGTTGGGTTTTATCCGATACCAGTACCTACTCTGTATTTTGTAAACGGTTCCGGTGCCTAAACGATTCTTGAAACGGTACTTAAGAAAACGAAACCGCACACACTTTGTCAAAAAAATAATAATACCCCTTTATTTACAGGGCCAAACTGGACACAATATTAACTTACAATATAAATACAAGTAACATACTGTAACAATAAATTGCATATGGTAATAATAAATAAACCAATATAAAATAAAAGTTCATATTTACATAATATCAAATAAAACAATAAACAATATTATATTAAACAATGTAATTATACTAGAGATTAATAGAGATTACTAACAGGGTATACAGTATAATATCGACATGGCTACAGGTTTCCATGTTTTGTCTGCTTTAACTAGTCATGTAGGCTAAGTGGTTCTCAAAGTGGGGTCCGCGGACCCCTGGTGGTCCGCGAGCTAAAGCCAGGGGGTCCGCGAAATAATTTACAACCTAACGTTTTTTTCCATGCTATGAGTCATGTTTTCTTTATCATCTGAAAACATGCTGTTTATTCCTAAGTAACTTATATAAAGCATTTAACATAAAACAATACAAAGTAGACACTTAAAGTTTTCTATAGATAGATAATCTACGTCTTTGCGTCAAGTAGACTATTCGCTGCTGTTGATTTTGCGGGACGTGCGCCAGAAAGGAGACAGAGAGACGGCATGAACCCGCATCCGGTTCTTTTCTGTATTTTTAAAAGGCATGACATTTTGTAGTCATTTATAATGTAGCCTATACACAAATAAAAAAATGGACACTTTACCGTTTCGGATGATGCACTCTTGTCTTATCTATGACCATAAATAAGAGTATTCCTGTTTCCACAGCTGAGGAAAAATTCCCATGTAATTGCGCGCCGGCGTCTCGCGTGCGCGCACAATAGTCAGTTCTAGCACTGCTACTGTAGATTTGACATTAGAAGTCTGATCATTATCAAAATAAAAGTGCATAGTGACAGGGCCATACCCACAACTGAGGTTGCAAGGATGCACATCGCGATGATACTGACCTTCTCGTATGAGGTGCTTCAGCAGACTAACAACGATAGCTCGTCAATGTCAAAATGTTTGAGTCGGAGTGAACTCAAAGTTCCCCGCACGACGTTTCAGTCAACGGTCATAAAGTGCGAGATAAGATGTAGGCCTTTATTAACATAAACTAAACAGCTGTTTTAGATAAAAGTTTTAAAAAACGACTGAAACAATCAGTTTGCAAAGTATTAATGAAGCTCAACTTTAACAAAGGAAAAAGCAGGTCAATAGAAACATACTGTGCCCATGAGATTAACATTATGGATTCATATATTTAACATATACTGTATGTTTTTTTTAGCTAATTACAGTAGCTCAAATTAACAACGCACGCACCTATTAAACATAATGCCATTATCATTGTATTTATAGGCTTATGGGCTTTATTTGTGTGCAGAATAGGCCTAATTATTGAAACATTTCTCTTTTAAGGCCATTCCTGATTGGAATATGTGATTGTGTTTCGTGACATCTTGACAAAAAAAAAAATGTATGCCACTGACTGACATGCTTCTACTAAATCTATAGTTATCCAATTGTGGGGCCTTAAAACACCTTAAAATGCACATGTGTAGATCAAGAACATCAAAAATTCCTAAGTGAGGGATAAGTGATTCCTAGCAAGATCACTTTCGTTATCTCAGTAGGCTATTTAGAAATTCCTGCATAGTACCCTGGGTGGAGACCATTCATTTTGTGCAAAAATATTTCATTTGCCGCTCACACATTAACTTTGTGCTCAATAACTGTTATAAATATGAGGGGGGTCCTTGGAATTTTTTTTCCCCTGAAAGGGGTCCCTGGCACCAAAATGTTTGAGAACCCCTGGGCTAAGTTATCTTGTCATTTACTAATTAAGCTCTTAGCCAGTTTGATATTTCGTTCCCACTGCGTCTTATACGCAGCTTTGAGTATATTAAAGAGAACGCCTCTGTGTTCTCTGAATAGGGAACGAGACACTGCGTTCGCTGCACTGATCTATGTAGAATGATTAGTCATCAGTGGTTCGCTGCCAAATATCTTGCGCCGCCGACAAGCTTCCTTTTTCGGGAGAGAACTCTGAGGAGCAGATGTTGCGCGCACTAATATAATATGACGACGTGAGCATCAACGCGGCGCGAATGGTGATTCCTCTATATCCATAGACAATCGATATTCTGACGCATAATTTTACATGTGAAATGCAGCCAAACATTTTACGTGTGTTTAACTCTTTCCCCGCCAGCGTTTTTAAAAAAAGTTGCCAGCCACCGCCAGGGTTTTTGACGATTTTCGCTAAATTTGAATGCCCCCGCTGAATATTTTCTTCCATGAATATATGAAGATGATATATATAAAAATAAAGATCTGAGCCTCTGCTTTTAGGCAAAAAAAACGTTTTTATTTTATCTTCATCTGTTCTTTTTTTATTGCCTCTTGAACAGAGGTAGGTTTTGTCAAAAACACAACATTTTGGACAAAAAACTGAGAAAAAGGTATTTTTATCAAACAAGTGCATTTAAAAGCAGAATACATTCAGATGTTGTTTCCTTCATATATAAAACTTTCCAAAATAAATTAAAAACATAAAATAAATGTAAAATATATCAAATTTCCCAGGATGTAAGGGAAATGTAACTTTTGCAATAAAACTTCTGCCTCTGCCTCTCTGTGTTCTACCTGTGAATAATGAATAATTGGAATTACAATAAACAGGCCTAGACACACACACACACACACACACACACACACACACACACACACACACACACACACACACACACAAATACATATTACAATGTGGTAAATGTGCACAAAGAGAGAAATAATTTGACAATTACACCTTCATATTTAGACAGCCACACATAAATGCCTGCACACACACGTATATTATAGTGTCATAATATTATACGATCTATCTGCGGCACGTCCATGGCTAGCATGAACATGTGCATCTCTCTCACTGACTACTTCGTCCCGATCAGATTCAGAATTATCAAATAAAGAGTGATCGGACTCCGAGTCCATTAACCTCCAGTACTTCAGCCATATACCTCTGCATTGTCTGTCTGATACATTCTCACTACTCCACTGTTTGAGACGATTGCGATCTGTTTCTCTGATCAAAGAGTTGCGCAATCATTCAGGACATGCGCGCGGGTCTTCCTTACCGTATACCACCTAAAACACGGATACCCGGAAAATTCCGTGTTTGGCGCAGATGCGTTTTTTCATTAAACACGGAAAATTCCGTGTTTGGCGGGGAAAGAGTTAATCTCCTCGCTATCAGCAGACGTTCGGGGAGTCTCCTGCATATTGATAACGGCTCCCGGATGATCGCAAATTAGTTCAAATCTCCCGGAATCTAGAGCAAGCGAGCAAGAGCGCGCGTGCAAGACAGATCAGATAGTGCTTCAATAAACCGTATAGTGCGCGCACGTCAGAGATGGAGAGGGAGACCGCGAGAGACTGCGTGTGTGCGCCTCATGCCACAGACTCAGGCATCGAAATCAGGCCCCGAAATGTTCATTCTAATTCGGTCTCGTTACTACCGTTTACGTCAGAACCGGTTCCCTATTGGCACCGAGTTTCGGTACCCAACCCTACTCAAAAGTCATCCTCAAACCTAGACATGGCTATGTTCCCAAAGTGGTCGGCACCCCATTTAGAGCACAGGTCATTTCCCTATCGGCTCTGCCAGCATCCGATAGCGAGAGTGATGTTAATCCCACTGCCCTGTCAGAGCTCTGAGATTTTACATTACGCGCTCTGCCCCTTTCAGGCGCTCTGAGCAGCTTTTGTTTCGTTTGGAGGGCGCACCAAAGGTCTCGCCGCCTCGAAACAAAGTCTAGTTTGCTAATAGACTAGACAGATAATAGCAAAAGGTCTGCACTGCCCTTTGGGCATCAGGGCTCATTCCACGAGAGGTCTGTCCTCCTCGTGGGCATAGTCCAGCGGAAATTCTATTCATGACATGTGTGTGGTGGCGGGCTGGTCGTACCCGTCCACCTTTGTCAGGTATTACAACCTGGAAGTTCCCGCCTTGCAGGCCAGACTGCTGTCTGTTTAAGTGAGAGGTCAGTTCTGTCCAGATGTTATCATGTGCAGACTACTCTCATATAATTCAAGCTCTCCTGGTTGAGCTGCACTGTTTCAGGTTATGTGCTGTATGCTTATACATTGACCGACTGCAACGCTCTGTATTGCCTGTGAGTGCTTATATGCATGTGCTTGTGACACACACTTATGTACACGCACTTGCCTCGCGCTCATGCACATGCGCTTTTCCCACTTATCTGGGTCCCCTGAAATGTTTGGGACTCATGGGGTGGATGCTGGCGTGCATGGCGTTGATAAAGTGATCCCGTATCGTAAGTTAAACTTACGCAATATAAGAGAACCTCTCGTAAGAGAATGTACTTGGTTACTAACGTAACCTTGGAGTATTACGTGCCGTGCTCGCTTCACAGTGCTATTTCGCTTCAGTCGATGAAAACCAGAGAAATCAGCCTCCCAGCCCTGCTTATATACGCTAATCTTGGACGTGACGTCACGACGGGCTCACTGGTAGGCTGTGCAGTTCTTGCAGGGCAGCCAATGAGCGCGCCAGGATGCCCGCTCTAGGTCTGCTAGCTGCTGCACGTGTTGACAATGAATACAAAAATTAAGAATTATTCATTTTTTGGCTTTAATATCTCAAGATGGTGAATCTTTCCCGTAGCGTAAGCTAAACTTACGCAATACTCGTTCCCTGTCTAGAGAGAACCAAGGTTATGTTAGTAACCAAGTATGTTTTTCTTCATTAATCGTTACTGCAGCCTGTTTGTTAATATTCCATCATACCTTGAACCAAGGATGAAAAAGACATTCTGTGGCAGCAGGTCTCCTAAAGTACAAATGGTTGAACATTACATTAAAAAGAGCATAACTCCATGACAATTACAACCGTCAGACATATTTTCCACAATGACTGTGGTGCAATAAACACTTACAGTTTGTTTGATACGAGGAGCTTTATGATGAACCCTTTTGCTTCTCTGCAAAGGTCTTTGAACATGCTTTCCTCAAATGCAACATTATAATTCCTGATGTTCAGCAGAGTGTCACGGTCATTTTCCCCAGCAAATGGGGAAACTCCCGTTAGGCTGTGGATTATGTGAAAGATAAAGACATGTTACACATGTTGAATGTTGAAAATTATGTCAGTGGAGAGTTCAAAGTCAAGTCAAGTCAAGTCACATTTATTTACAATACAGATTGTTTCAAAGCAGCTTTACAGAGATGAATAATGCAACAAAATTTGTTTCCAGAATAAAATAGTGCACAGTCCAGCTTAAGTAAATTCTGTAATGTTTCATTTTTGTTGTAAAAAGTTATTAATTTAGCTCTGGAGAAAACTGTGATGTCATCGTTACCGTCGTCGTCAAATAGGCTATACATACCATAAATAAGCTATGACACCCACTGGCCTATGGAGAGAAAGGGTTTTTTTTTTAGACAATATAGAAAATTAAAGTTTAACCAACTGTCAAAGAGTTAGGTGATGTGATGGTGTTTTACCAAATATCTGTAGATTTAGAGATGGGTGACTGGTTTACAATCTCAGGAGCAATAAATTCGGGTGTGCCATATTTGCAGTACAATTCTTCATTTGGTTTGACTTTCAGAGCATTGCCAAAATCACAAATACGAATGTGATCACTTTTCTGGTCTGCCATGAGAATGTTTTCAGGCTGAAATATACACACATGCTGTATAATTACTTTTCTCTGAAAAGTCAAAACAGTAATTTAAAATTATTAGTAAAGCATAGTAAATTATACAGTTTTATCTGTTGACCTTTATATCAAGATGGATTATGTCATTATGGTGAAGATAAGCGATACCCTCAAGTAGCTGTCGTATGATAGACTGAACCTGCACATAGAACACAAACATTAATTCTATGGAATATATTAATCTGTAAGTAATTTACATTGTTTTAGCATCAAACAGCAGCAACTCATTTTAACTGAATACACAGTTCAAACACCAATCAAAACACCAACCTCAGATTCTAAGATGGTAGTTCTTTTTGTTATTCTTTCCAGAAGCTCTTCGTGGCACCTTTATAATCATTTAAGGATAATGATGCAAGCAAACAGCTTCTTATTAAAAAAAGGATAATTAATCAGAGGGAAAGGATACAGTTCAGTGATAATGACCACTACACGCCTCTTTTCAAAAGCATCGTGGAAGTGAATGATCTTCTCGTGGTCTAACTCTGACAGGAGGGTCATCTCTCTCAGGGAACAAGTCTTTCTCTTTGCCCGCACTGAGATGAATTTTGCTGCAAATGATTTACCTTTTTTTTGTGTCACTCGCTTTACATATGAAAAAGCCCCTCTGTGAACACATGAAGACATCACAGACCTGTCAGATCCAAATATACAGTACACAGTGTCCGGTTACACTTTATTTTGAGGTGATGTAGTTACATTGTACTTACTCAAATAAGTACTGAGTAGGCCTAATATTAATTAACTGCATGTAGTGTACCTATAGAGTACATTTAGTTACATTGTACTTACTCAAATAAGTACTGAGTAATATTAATTAACTGCATCTACCTAGAGAGTACAGTATATACTTGTAGAGTTGTATACTTGTAATTATGCATACTTTAATGTAGTAATGTGTAACTACATCACCTTAAAATAAAGTGTTACCAAGTGTTCTCCTAATAATAGCAGTGTCCTTCTAGAATGGTATCTGACCTGCCAATCTCTTTGTGTATGTCATAGTAATCGGCCAGCCTACGCATCCTCCGAAGAATTGTGCCTTCATCTTCCATTTGCTCTTCTTCTTCCTCCACATTTTTGGCTGTGAATATATATTTATGTGTGTCACATTATCCTGTTAACTATACCAAACATGCAAAACAAGTTTCTAATTATTATTATTATTTATTTATTTGATATGGACATAACAACAGCATTGGACAAACCAGATACAAAGTACATTGTTTTTTTAGTGTTATAGCAAAACTGCTAATTTACAACACTTGTCCATAGGAGGCTACACATTTCACAAAACACAACACAGTACAATATACAATATTCTTTTATATACATTATATAATAAGTAAACCTTGAGTTATTCCAGCCCGGTCTTATCCCCAAGGCAGCATAAATGACGCTTTTGACATTGCGTCTATCTGTTGTCTTAGTGGTCTAACACTAACACTACCCCAGACCTAAACCCACCCATAACCGAAGCGTGTTATATTAGGATGAGAATAAAAACTAAAACTGCTTTTGGCCAGGCTAGCCATATTCAAACTAATTTGTATAACTTACCAGTATGGACAGTAAGCTCAGCCTTACAGGACACTGACCCAGCCATGTTCTTAGCAGTGCAAGTGTAGACCCCCACATCCTCAGGCTGAGCATTGAGAACAACAAGCGAGCACTCTCTGTCATCATACACAAAGGTAAAACGACTGCTTTCTACAAGAAGAATACTATCCTGAAAGTCAAAAAAAGCAAATAATCAAGGACAGCATAAACAATTAAAAATCTCCAGTGAATTTCAATTATAGACATTCACATTCTCACGACTATAGACATTAACATGATCAAGATTGTAAACGTACCTTGAACCAGAGGATATCAGGGTCAGGTTTTCCATCTACAACAACAGCTAAACGACATGTTTCCCCCACACAGACATCCAAGTCCTCCATGATGATCTCAAATGTAGGGGGCACTGAAATGGACACCAAAAAACTATTTAAAAACAAATTAAAAACTGAAGCAGGATCAATGCTTACAATTAATACTCAAGTACAAAGAAATTAAAGGAATAATTCGCCCCCCAAAAAATGTGTGATGCTTGTGTGATGATGTCATGAGAGTTTTGATGTCATTGACATGTTGTCAAATTAGATTATACAAACTGTTTATTATATTACTTTTACCCTTTATGTCCAATAACTAATGAGTTTTGATTTTATTGGATCATACACAAGTTAATCTATGTTTTGATTATTTCTCATCATGAAAAGTGATTCTCCCTGCTAAAAAATCCAGCATTGCTGGTCACCATCATAAGGTATGCAATGCTAATCCCCAGCATGGAAATTGGGAGTGCTGCTGGACCAGCTGCACCAGCTCAATTTTGCTTGAGAACAACATGAGAGCAATCACCCTTTTTCAATTCAAATTAGACCAATCTACCTTTTTATTTAACTAACTTTAAATTTTGGATCGAATTTAGATTGAGGGTGATGGAATATTTTTACAATGAATGCTCCATATACACATCATACAAAGATGTCTGTTAGAGTGCATAATCTGAAAAGCATTTCATTCTAATTATTGCAAATAATCGTAATATTTTTAAATCACGATTTGATAATTATTTTAATGATGGTTTGTCTGTTAGTAATGAATTAATGATGACCATGATGCCTATTTATTTAACTAACAGGAGAGGGAGGTTGTCACAGTGCTTCATAAAATTAAACCACATAAGGCATCTGGCCCAGATGACCTGAAGGGGAAAGTCTTGAAAGAATGTGCAGCACAACTTGGTCGTGTGTAGGTTGTTTCAAATCTTCCCGGACAATTTTGTACCATTAGCCTGGAAGAATTCCATTGTCATTCCAGTGCCGAAAATACCTAATGCAAAATCTCTCAAAGACTTTCGCCCAATCACACTCACATCTATTCTGTGTAAATATATGGAGCGCAAAGTAAGGAACTGTTATCCCAAATTGAGACATGCATAGACCCCCTGCAATTTGCCTATCGGGCCAATGGGAGCGTGGATGCCTCTCTCACTCTTTTAAATAAGGTTCAAAATCATCTAGACAACTCAAATTGCTATGTTCGAATACTCTTTATGGATTGCTCATCCGCTTTTAATACTCTCCAAACTTATCTTCTTTTAAAGCGCCTCTATGAGTTAGGTGCTAGTAGTTGGAGTAGTTGAGTTTTTAAAAGGTCGCCCTCAGCAAGTTTGTGTTAAAGGAGCTGTATGTAAGATTGTGGCCAAAACTGGTACTGCAATCAGTTTCAAATTACTGTAGAGCAGTGTATCCCCTCCCCCTTCCCCCTGACTCCAGGTTGCCAGGTATGCTGCAGGATCCAACTTTTTTTACCCCACACGTTTGTAGCTGCAGCTGTGGTAACTAGAGCAGAGCTGGCAACCTGATTGCTGCAACACTAACTGACTTCGTGATTGGTAGATCGGTGGAGGGTGGAGCATCAGACCAAAACACAACATGACAGTTGAGGGCTGCAACAACAATTTTTTAAATGACAATATCCTGGCCGGACTACTGTTGTAAGTGATAAAAGTATTTGAAATGAACATGATTTCTTAATGTCTAGTGACACATCAGGGTCATTTTATGATTATTTGAAATAAATTTCTTACATACAGCTCCTTTAATAATAATGTTTTTATTACATTAGATTAGATTACAGATGATATGGCATTGGTCTCATGTCAGAAAGAAATTAACTGCACCTCATATTTTGAGTACATTGACATTATTAACTGTTGGTTTGAGAGCAGTTCTTTACATCTTAATATTGAAAAGACAAAAGAGTTATGTTTGAGAAATCAATCAAGAAAAGTAGATACCACATCTGAATATGAACCAGTTGTCATGAAGGAACAAACTGCAGAGCAGGTCTCGAATTTTAAATATTTGGGTCCAATTACAGAAGAGAAACTTAATTTTGAAAGTAATGTGGAGTACGTTCATAAAAAAGCATGACAACGCCTGGGTCTCCTTAGGAAACTGAGAAGCTTCAATATTAGTCAGCAGACCCTAACTATGGCAGGCTATACCGATCAATGATTGAGAGTATTCTTACATACAATATTGTTTCATGTTACAGCAATCTAACATTAAAACCAAAGAACAAACTCGCACAAATAATTAATCAAGCAAATAAGATTACTGGACAAACACAACAGCCACTTCAGAGCTTGTTCGATCATTCTATGGGGAAAATGGCAATTGCGATTTTTAAAGATACACACACCCTCTTTTAAATTGCTCTCGTCTGGACGTAGACTGAAAATTCTCTTGGCTAGGAAAAAATTCTATAAAAGATTTTTTCTTCCAATGGCAGTGATTATCTTAAATCGTACAGTGTTTTAATTGAAACAATAAACGATTGTTAATATTTTTTACATTTTTCTATAAAATACTATAACTATATATATATATATATATATTTGTATTTGTGCTATTGATGTGTTACAATGTCAAAGAAAAATTTCTGCTCTGTGAAAACAGACTGGACAATACAGTTCAATCAATCATGCAAGTGTGTCCCAATGCATCCTGCAGTACTACAAACCACCTCTACAAGTGATGCCCCTACAATGAAACAGCCAATTAAGCAATATAAACAGAGCCCCTTCCTCTGGAATCATTGGGTGCTTTTCAATTCTTGTTTGTGTATGCTCGTTTCCTTTCCTCGCTTCTCAACTCCACCCCCTGTAGGATGTGAGAGAAGGCTGCAAGGAAAGAAAAGGAGGACAGCGGAATCAAATTAAAGCTTTTTTATACATTAGAATAATTGATCACTCGCTCGTCACTTCACAGCGTCATCAGCAGCGCTCAAAGGATCTGTCCATATATTGTTGAAGTTTGGTTATTTAATGAATTCATGATAAACAATAATAAAGCAAGAGACCATGCTGAATTAGGCTATGTGAGATGTGTGGTTTATTTAAACTGCAAAGATAAAGTATAAATTAAATTATTGTGACCGATGTGAAAAGGGAGGAGAACGTATATGTGCGTCATGTTTAGTCGATAAAAC